ATGGGAGACCCCCTAGTAGTTAGGAGCTCCAGGCTTTTGCACAAAGTAGACGACAAGCCAATGCAGAGGTGATGAAAAGTTTATCGTGAAAAATCCAATTCAACCTGAATTCAAGGATGGTTTATGGCATAAAAGCAAGTGTTTTCCATTAGGTTCCCCCCCACCCCCCCCCATTAACTTGCATAATGGTTGCCATTAGCATAATGCTTAGTTTTTATTCCTTCTTTCCTTGTCTATATCCATCTTTTTGCACCATCATGTGGTGCCTTATTGGCATAATTTTCCGCCTTTTGTCTTCCCATAATGCTGCTGGAGGAGACAGATGGACTCCAGGTTAGGCATTTACATCTAGCCTGTTTACATTTCCTGAGGCAAGCGATGGTTGGGCTCCAGTTGAGCCTTTACAGTCAGTGTCCTGCTTGCCCTGTGAAATGGAAGTAACAACCGAAAGAGGGTAAATAACCAGTGTCTGTCTCTCATGAACACTTTAGTAGCCATGACAAGGGCAAAGAGGGACAAAACCCTGCTTGAGTCAAGGATGAAGAGATCTCCCCTCCCCCCACCCCCCTTGTGGGAGAAGGGAAACACTACACATGCGCAGAGAGGCTCCTTGTGGGTGAAAAGTCCCGCGAAAGTGCCAGACCATGATGAGCCTTGCTTCTCCCAGAAGCCTCCACTTGGAGATCCATCTTGGCTGAGGGGTATGTGCACACCAGGGCAGAGGCCCAGGATAGGTCAGATGTGAAGAAAGAAACCAGAAACTTGGCAGGAAGGAAGACAAAGACCCAGAAGAACTGGCCTATATAAAGGACTTCACCACCTCGTGGTTATTGTGCTCCTTGTCACCAGGGGGCGCCCATAACCTTTCTCTCCAGGTGTGTGTCTCTGCTTTGCTTCTGTGGTAACTAGACCAGCTGTTCCTCCGTGTTCTTTCCCACGTGTTGCTGTGCTGTGTCTCTGATAATAAACGTTGTACCTGCATGTAGCGATTCTGCCTCCATGATGAATGCATTTTTCACTGGTCAAAGATCCAGGGAAACTTGGCTTCTAGCCTCTAGCCCTTGCTGGTCTGGTGGCTAGGATTCCTGGTTTTCGTTCAGGCTACCCAGGTTCAGTTCCTGGGCAGCGAATTAGATCTCACTTCACGCCACCACTCACTGCTGCCTCACTGAGATCAACTCAATTTTTATCACCATTTAATCTACATCATATGAATTTTTGCAACTTTTCGAGAAAGGACTTCTTAGGAATTAACATACTGATATTTCCATAAGGGGGAAATACTTCTTCCCTAAAACTGCATTGAGAAGATTTGCACTTAAGAAAATGTGTTTTAATGTAGCGGAATTACTATTTTGTCTTTACACTCTAGCAGTTGTTAAATCCTTAACTGCCAAGAACTGTTCAGGCTTCCCTGGTGGCTCAGCCGGTGAGGAATCCACCTGCAGTGCAGGAGACCTGGGTTCGATCCCTGGGTTGCAAAGACCCCCTGGAGAAGGGAAACGGCTACCCACTCTAGTATTCTGGCCTGGAGAATTCCATGGACTGTACAGTCCATGCGTTCGCAGAGTCAGACATGACAGAGCGACTTTCACTGTTCACCAGCAACGGTTCGGCCTGAGATAAGAACTTTCAAAAATCTTTGAACACAGACGCTCTAACTTATTTTCCCTCTGGGATAAATATTTTGCATTTACTTTTAGGTCATATAGACACAATAGGCAGAGAACTCTCTTATCATGTATTTTATTTGCATGTAAATTAACATCCTAGAAACTTTAAAGTAGAAACACTAAATACAGTATTGCACAGAGTATTAATCTGTGTTAAATGCCCCATTATCTCACTGAAGTTCCTATACGCATGCAGGGACTGAAGGAGACAGGAAGATGGCAGAAGAGCAACCCGAGAGCCACTACTGTGTCTGGGCACATCAACTACAGACTGCAAGGTAAGGACAGTATTTTACAGAAATAGAAACATAGTTACAATTCAGATTTCCTTTTTAAGTTGCCTCCTTAATTGGTTTGCAGTAGCAACAGATTCTCCCCTTTTTTCATAGCCATTCCCCAACACATATCATTTTAAAAAATCTATTAATGTTAGACAAAGCCATCACAGTGCTTCAGGAGTGACTTCAAGAACACTCCAATCAAGTCACAGTACTCAGGCAGGTGGGTTTAATAGAGAAGTCCTAGGTAGATATCAATCCATCTGAAAGTGGGCAGTAATGTTTGAACACATCTAGGATTTCCTTTTAAACACAAGCTCCAAGGAAACAGTACTGAATTGACCAGAGGAACAGTAAAAAGAGGACATCACTGGAAGGGAGTTTACACTGCCAGTCTGGCCCTGTGGTCTGGCGCTGGGGTAGCATCTGCTCGCTTGGCCCCTGTGTCCCTCAGGGAGGTCACGGGCTCAAGAGTGCAGAACAAGTATCATCACTAGGACTGCCCAGAGCTGCTGCGAACATCCAAAAAGTTTCACTTTAAGAGTTCTTTAGAGGGCTTCCCTGGCGATCCAGTGGCTGCTCCCAATGCAGGGGCCTGGGTTCAATCTCTGGCCAGTGAACTAGATCCCATTCACTGCAAGGAAGAGTGTGCACGCCACAATGAAAGATCCCATGTGTGGCAACCAAGACCTGGTGCAGCTTACAAAAGAGAAAAAAGGCACAAAATGTTCTTTAGAAAGTGCTATAAAATGCTATGAATGATTGCTTCTGCTAAGCAAATGGTAAGAAAATATGTGTATTAGTTGCTCAGCTGTGTCCGACTCTTTGTGACTCCATGGACTGTGGCCTTCCCAGTTCCTCTGTCCGTGGAATTCTCTAGGCAAGAATACTGGAAGAGGTGGCCATTCCCTTCTCCAGGCGATCTTCTCAACCCAGGCATGAAACCCAGGTCTCCTGCATTGCAGACAGATTCTTTACCACCTGAGCCACCAGGGAAGCCCAGGAAATACGTCGACCGGAATCCTCTTAATCAAGACAGGGGCCATTAGAGAGAAAATAACCTACTCGGTTAATTTAGTTTTATTATTGCCATTCTCCTTGGGAATTAAAAAGAGGGTACTTCTGGAGAAACTGACAAAGCTGTGATTTATCTTAATAAAAGACTTCTTATGGAGATCTTGAAACCTGTTTCCTGAAAGAAATGAGTTCTAAATATATTTCTTAAGCCTGGTGGCAAAGTTTCTAATGACAGAATTCATCTCCCATGCAGCTCAATGAATCCCTGGTGTTTTTTTTTTTTTTTTCATTTATTTTTATTAGTTGGAGGCTAATGACTTTACAAATTTTTTTGTCATACATTGACATGAATTAGCCATGGATTTACATGTATTCCCCATCCCGATCCCCCCTCCCACCTCCGTCTCGACCCGATCCCTTTGGCTCTTCCCAGTGCACCAGGTCCGAGCACTTGTCTCCTGCATCCAACCTGGGCTGGTGATCTCTTTCACCCTAGGTTATATATACGTGTTTCGATGCTGTTCTCTTGAAACATCCCACCCGCGCCTTCTCCCACAGAGTCCAAAAGTCTGTTCTATACATCTGTGTGTCTTTTTCTGTTTTGCATATAGGGTTATGGTTACCATCTTGCTCAATTCCATGTATATGTGTTAGTATCCTGTAATGGTCTTTATCTTTCTGGCTTACTTCAGTCTGTATAACGGGCTCCAGTTTCATCCATCTCTTTAGAACTGATTCAAATGAATTCTTTTTAATGGCTGAGTAAGATTCCATGGTGTATATGTACCACAGCTGCCTTATCCATTCGTCTGCTGACGGGCATCTAGGTTACTTCCATGTCCTGCCTATTATAAACGGTGCTGCGATGAACATTGGGGTGCACGTGTCTCTTTCAGATCTGGTTTCCTCGGCGTGTATGCCCAGAAGTGGGATTGCTGGATCATAGGGCAGTTCTGTTTCCAGTTTTTTAAGAAATCTCCACACTGTTTTCCATAGCGGCTGTACTAGTTTGCATTCCCACCGACAGGGTAAGAGGGTTCCCTTTTCTCCACACCCTCTCCAGCATTTATTGCTTGTAGACTTTTTGGATAGCAGCCATCCTGCCTGGCGTGTAATGGTACCTCATTGTGGTTTTGATTTGCATTTCTCGGATAATGAGTGATGTTGAGCATCTTTTCATGTGTCTTTTAGCCATCTGTATGCCTTCCTTGGAGAAATGTCTGGTTAGCTCTTTGGCCCATTTTTTGATTGGGTCATTTATTTTCTGGAGTTGAGCTGGAGGAGTTGCTTGTATATTTTTGAGATTAATCCTTTGTGTGTTGCTTCGTTTGCTGTTATTTTCTCCCAATCTGAGGGCTGTCCTTTCACCTCGCTTATAGTTTCTTTGTCGTGCAAAAGCTTTTAAGTTTCATTAGGTCCCATTTGTTAATTTTCGCTTTTGTTTCTAATACTCTGGGATCCTGCTGTGATTTATGTCGGAGAGTGTTTTGCCTGTGTTCTCCTCTAGGAGTTTTATGGTTTCTGGTCTTAACGTTTAGATCTTTAATCCATTTTGAGTTTATTTCTGTGTATGGTGTTAGACAGTGTTCTCGTTTCATTCTTTTCCAGGTGGCTGACCAGTTTTCCCAGCACCGCTTGTTAAAGAGGTTGTCTTTTTTTCCACTGTATATCCTTGCCTCCTTTGTCGAAGATAAGGTGACCATAGGTTCGTGGATTTATCTCTGGGCTTTCTGTTCTGTTCCATTGATCTATATTTCTGTCTTTGTGCCAGTACCATACTGTCTTGATGACTGTGGCTTTGTGGTATAGTCTGAAGTCAGGCAGGTTGATTCCTCCAGTTCCATTCTTCTTTCTCAAGATTCCTTTGGCTATTCGAGGTGTTTTGCATTTCCATACAAATTGTGAAATTATTTGCTCTAGTTCTCTGAAAGCTGCCGTTGGTAGCTTGATAGGGATTGCATTGAATCTGTAGATTGCTTTGGGTACTATAGCCATTTTGACAATATTGAGAATCCCTGTTTTTCAACAACAGAATGAATCAAATCATTGAGTGCAGCAGCTCTGAGGTTACTGTTACAGCTCACATTAAGGCAAGATGGATCAAGGTAACTGTTGGTTTGTTTGTTTTTTTAGCCCTTGGAGAAAATCCAGTAGATGCTGTCTTAAATTTACCTAGAACTCTTGAAGGAAGAATTTTAAGGACCTCAGGAAGGTCCTGTGCTTGGCGGGTGGCGTGGCGAGGAGGGGGGCCGCGGTCGGGCGAAGGGGCAGGGCTGAGGCGCTCGGGTGGACCGCGCTGGTGGCTCCCAGTGGGTTTGGGCCCCGGGCAGGTGCCGGGCAGGATGGGCGCTCAGGGCCCCGGCTGCGCTCCGCCTATGCCCGAGGGAGGCTCAGAGGACCGAGGGCCGCGGTCCGCGGCGGGCCCGAATCAGACGCCTCCGGGGCCACGTGGCCCTGAGCCACGAACGGGAGTGGGCGGGGGGGGGCGCTGACAGGGGGCGGGCCTGGAGAGGCCCAGGGCGGGAGGGCGCCGAGACCTCCGCACCCCTCACCCCAACCCCAAGCCCAGGCATGCACGCCCGACCGGCCGCTCGGGGTCCCGGAAACACTCCGGGCCCCCGGGCCGGGCCAGGTTTGCTGGCCAGGGTTGCCAGTGTGTGGGGACTGGGAGGCTTCGGCCGGGCTGCCGGCCCTGGCCGGCGCGCCCCGTGGAAAGGTGCGGCCGGCTGGCTCGACACGGCACATCAGAGCGAAAAGCAGGCGCAGCGCAGGGTTTTTAAAGGCGCCTGGCGGCAACCGCCTCCATCTAAGATCATACCACCCTGAACGGGCCAGATGTCTTCTGATCGGGGAAACTAAGCAGGGTTAGTTAGTACTTGGATGGGAGACCCCCTAGTAGTTAGGAGCTCCAGGCTTTTGCACAAAGTAGACGACAAGCCAATGCAGAGGTGATGAAAAGTTTATCGTGAAAAATCCAATTCAACCTGAATTCAAGGATGGTTTATGGCATAAAAGCAAGTGTTTTCCATTAGGTTCCCCCCCACCCCCCCCATTAACTTGCATAATGGTTGCCATTAGCATAATGCTTAGTTTTTATTCCTTCTTTCCTTGTCTATATCCATCTTTTTGCACCATCATGTGGTGCCTTATTGGCATAATTTTCCGCCTTTTGTCTTCCCATAATGCTGCTGGAGGAGACAGATGGACTCCAGGTTAGGCATTTACATCTAGCCTGTTTACATTTCCTGAGGCAAGCGATGGTTGGGCTCCAGTTGAGCCTTTACAGTCAGTGTCCTGCTTGCCCTGTGAAATGGAAGTAACAACCAAAAGAGGGTAAATAACCAGTGTCTGTCTCTCATGAACACTTTAGTAGCCATGACAAGGGCAAAGAGGGACAAAACCCTGCTTGAGTCAAGGATGAAGAGATCTCCCCTCCCCCCACCCCCCTTGTGGGAGAAGGGAAACACTACACATGCGCAGAGAGGCTCCTTGTGGGTGAAAAGTCCCGCGAAAGTGCCAGACCATGATGAGCCTTGCTTCTCCCAGAAGCCTCCACTTGGAGATCCATCTTGGCTGAGGGGTATGTGCACACCAGGGCAGAGGCCCAGGATAGGTCAGATGTGAAGAAAGAAACCAGAAACTTGGCAGGAAGGAAGACAAAGACCCAGAAGAACTGGCCTATATAAAGGACTTCACCACCTCGTGGTTATTGTGCTCCTTGTCACCAGGGGGCGCCCATAACCTTTCTCTCCAGGTGTGTGTCTCTGCTTTGCTTCTGTGGTAACTAGACCAGCTGTTCCTCCGTGTTCTTTCCCACGTGTTGCTGTGCTGTGTCTCTGATAATAAACGTTGTACCTGCATGTAGCGATTCTGCCTCCATGATGAATGCATTTTTCACTGGTCAAAGATCCAGGGAAACTTGGCTTCTAGCCTCTAGCCCTTGCTGGTCTGGTGGCTAGGATTCCTGGTTTTCATTCAGGCTACCCAGGTTCAGTTCCTGGGCAGCGAATTAGATCTCACTTCACGCCACCACTCACTGCTGCCTCACTGAGATCAACTCAATTTTTATCACCATTTAATCTACATCATATGAATTTTTGCAACTTTTCGAGAAAGGACTTCTTAGGAATTAACATACTGATATTTCCATAAGGGGGAAATACTTCTTCCCTAAAACTGCATTGAGAAGATTTGCACTTAAGAAAATGTGTTTTAATGTAGCGGAATTACTATTTTGTCTTTACACTCTAGCAGTTGTTAAATCCTTAACTGCCAAGAACTGTTCAGGCTTCCCTGGTGGCTCAGCTGGTGAGGAATCCACCTGCAGTGCAGGAGACCTGGGTTCGATCCCTGGGTTGCAAAGACCCCCTGGAGAAGGGAAACGGCTACCCACTCTAGTATTCTGGCCTGGAGAATTCCATGGACTGTACAGTCCATGCGTTCGCAGAGTCAGACATGACAGAGCGACTTTCACTGTTCACCAGCAACGGTTCGGCCTGAGATAAGAACTTTCAAAAATCTTTGAACACAGACGCTCTAACTTATTTTCCCTCTGGGATAAATATTTTGCATTTACTTTTAGGTCATATAGACACAATAGGCAGAGAACTCTCTTATCATGTATTTTATTTGCATGTAAATTAACATCCTAGAAACTTTAAAGTAGAAACACTAAATACAGTATTGCACAGAGTATTAATCTGTGTTAAATGCCCCATTATCTCACTGAAGTTCCTATACGCATGCAGGGACTGAAGGAGACAGGAAGATGGCAGAAGAGCAACCCGAGAGCCACTACTGTGTCTGGGCACATCAACTACAGACTGCAAGGTAAGGACAGTATTTTACAGAAATAGAAACATAGTTACAATTCAGATTTCCTTTTTAAGTTGCCTCCTTAATTGGTTTGCAGTAGCAACAGATTCTCCCCTTTTTTCATAGCCATTCCCCAACACATATCATTTTAAAAAATCTATTAATGTTAGACAAAGCCATCACAGTGCTTCAGGAGTGACTTCAAGAAAACTCCAATCAAGTCACAGTACTCAGGCAGGTGGGTTTAATAGAGAAGTCCTAGGTAGATATCAATCCATCTGAAAGTGGGCAGTAATGTTTGAACACATCTAGGATTTCCTTTTAAACACAAGCTCCAAGGAAACAGTACTGAATTGACCAGAGGAACAGTAAAAAGAGGACATCACTGGAAGGGAGTTTACACTGCCAGTCTGGCCCTGTGGTCTGGCGCTGGGGTAGCATCTGCTCGCTTGGCCCCTGTGTCCCTCAGGGAGGTCACGGGCTCAAGAGTGCAGAACAAGTATCATCACTAGGACTGCCCAGAGCTGCTGCGAACATCCAAAAAGTTTCACTTTAAGAGTTCTTTAGAGGGCTTCCCTGGCGATCCAGTGGCTGCTCCCAATGCAGGGGCCTGGGTTCAATCTCTGGCCAGTGAACTAGATCCCATTCACTGCAAGGAAGAGTGTGCACGCCACAATGAAAGATCCCATGTGTGGCAACCAAGACCTGGTGCAGCTTACAAAAGAGAAAAAAGGCACAAAATGTTCTTTAGAAAGTGCTATAAAATGCTATGAATGATTGCTTCTGCTAAGCAAATGGTAAGAAAATATGTGTATTAGTTGCTCAGCTGTGTCCGACTCTTTGTGACTCCATGGACTGTGGCCTTCCCAGTTCCTCTGTCCGTGGAATTCTCTAGGCAAGAATACTGGAAGAGGTGGCCATTCCCTTCTCCAGGCGATCTTCTCAACCCAGGCATGAAACCCAGGTCTCCTGCATTGCAGACAGATTCTTTACCACCTGAGCCACCAGGGAAGCCCAGGAAATACGTCGACCGGAATCCTCTTAATCAAGACAGGGGCCATTAGAGAGAAAATAACCTACTCGGTTAATTTAGTTTTATTATTGCCATTCTCCTTGGGAATTAAAAAGAGGGTACTTCTGGAGAAACTGACAAAGCTGTGATTTATCTTAATAAAAGACTTCTTATGGAGATCTTGAAACCTGTTTCCTGAAAGAAATGAGTTCTAAATATATTTCTTAAGCCTGGTGGCAAAGTTTCTAATGACAGAATTCATCTCCCATGCAGCTCAATGAATCCCTGGTGTTTTTTTTTTTTTTTCATTTATTTTTATTAGTTGGAGGCTAATGACTTTACAAATTTTTTTGTCATACATTGACATGAATTAGCCATGGATTTACATGTATTCCCCATCCCGATCCCCCCTCCCACCTCCGTCTCGACCCGATCCCTTTGGCTCTTCCCAGTGCACCAGGTCCGAGCACTTGTCTCCTGCATCCAACCTGGGCTGGTGATCTCTTTCACCCTAGGTTATATATACGTGTTTCGATGCTGTTCTCTTGAAACATCCCACCCGCGCCTTCTCCCACAGAGTCCAAAAGTCTGTTCTATACATCTGTGTGTCTTTTTCTGTTTTGCATATAGGGTTATGGTTACCATCTTGCTCAATTCCATGTATATGTGTTAGTATCCTGTAATGGTCTTTATCTTTCTGGCTTACTTCAGTCTGTATAACGGGCTCCAGTTTCATCCATCTCTTTAGAACTGATTCAAATGAATTCTTTTTAATGGCTGAGTAAGATTCCATGGTGTATATGTACCACAGCTGCCTTATCCATTCGTCTGCTGACGGGCATCTAGGTTACTTCCATGTCCTGCCTATTATAAACGGTGCTGCGATGAACATTGGGGTGCACGTGTCTCTTTCAGATCTGGTTTCCTCGGCGTGTATGCCCAGAAGTGGGATTGCTGGATCATAGGGCAGTTCTGTTTCCAGTTTTTTAAGAAATCTCCACACTGTTTTCCATAGCGGCTGTATTAGTTTGCATTCCCACCGACAGGGTAAGAGGGTTCCCTTTTCTCCACACCCTCTCCAGCATTTATTGCTTGTAGACTTTTTGGATAGCAGCCATCCTGCCTGGCGTGTAATGGTACCTCATTGTGGTTTTGATTTGCATTTCTCGGATAATGAGTGATGTTGAGCATCTTTTCATGTGTCTTTTAGCCATCTGTATGCCTTCCTTGGAGAAATGTCTGGTTAGCTCTTTGGCCCATTTT